AAACCCCTAAACCCTAAACCATTAGAGTAGCCATGGTATTTTTTTTCAGGTTCTGGGTTTCGGGGCCCAGGCTGCCTTTGAGGACATTGATCAAAGGCAGTGCAGCATGGGAGTTTCCGAAAATTAGGGTGCCTTATTTTGGGGTCCTTATAATAAGGAACCTATTATTTAGGGTACTATATTTGGGTCCCCTATTTTCGGAAACCCCCACATGTTCAGCATGTGCAAGTTGTTCGTACCACCTGGCTCAGTGCAGAAAGGGCAATTTCGAGACTTGTGTGGAATTCCTGCTGCTTGAGGGCTTTGGGGCTTTTGGCTCGTTTATTTTGTCTGTACGCAGGTACTCATCGACAAGTGTGTGTAGCTGGGCTGCTGGACATGTTGATCGGTAGGTAAGCAGGTGAAAGTGTCTGCAGGTTTTGCATTTACAAGCGTGCATGTATGCAGGCACGCCTGCCCCCTGCTGACATATGCTGTTGGCCACACGCACTCTGCACTACAGCTTTAGGCCAGCAAAGGAGCACCTTTCTCTGTTAACAAACCGTACCATGACCTCCGTTGTATGCACGTGTTTGAACATGCGTCTTCCACTCTTCTGGGAAAGTCTGCCTCCCTGCAGCGCCTTAAGCAGTGCATTGTTGAAGTAGGGCTTCTGACCTGTCACACATCTCTCAGCAAAATCTTCAAGAGGCTCCAAAGCGCTTAAAATTCATAACAACTGTAAGTTAGATTCGTCTTGTACACGGGCCCCGCGTGCATATTGGATTATCTACATCCAACCCCACCTTCGAAACGCTGCCCGCCGCACCCAAAGAACAGCAACTGTCCATCAAATCCAAAATCCTATCATGCCCTAGCTACCCTGACTACTATAGGGGCCTGTACCTATAGATTATGTTTCGGGGTTCCTTTTGATAGTTATAGTATAATGGACCCCCAAAACCCTATTCCAATACTGAAGGCCCCTACATTACCCTAACGACCCTATCAAAGCTAAGCCCCACGCCCAAAGCCCCTAAACCCTAAACCCTAAACCCTAAACCCAAAGCCCAAAGCCCAAAGCCCAAAGCCCAAAGCCCAAAGCCCAAAACCCAAAGCCATGCTCGGAAAGACAGAGGTGAGAGCCTCCCAGTCGGCCAAGTGGCGCGAGCCTCGGAATGGGGAATCATATGGGTAGTTTTCTAAATTAGGGTCCCTTTTTAGGTCCCCAATATAGTACGGCACCCTTATAAAAAGGACCCTAAAAGGGACCCTAATTTAGAGAACTACTCATCTGTGATTATATAAATATGCATGGGCCCCATAGTAGTTCCTTTTTGTGGCTTATATTTAGGATCCTAGTAGGTAGTCCCAAAAAGGAGCTACTATGGGGCCTATGGGTATCGATACAGTGGCGGAATCCGCGCGTCGCAAAGCCGAAGCACTGTGCGGAGACCTGCGAGATTGAAACTCAAGATCGTTTCAAAGCTTTTGCTGGAGAGTCTCTTCCCGTAACATGGCGTTCCGTGCAGCTTGCCTTCTTTTGGTGACGACTACCACGGCACTTCCCGATGCTGCACAGCCTTCCTTGAGGGGTGCATCCCAGGGCCCGTGTGTGAGCTGGTGCCAGTGGGTGCCAGGCCCATCATGGCAGTACACCCCTGACTGTCGAGGATGCTCAGGCACCGCCAGTCAGCCGGCCTCTACCGCCCCAGCACCCGCCTCCGGACCTAGGCCCACTGACGGCAGGTGCGTGGATTGGTGCACCTACGTGCCAAGCCCCTCATGGCAGTACACTCCCGACTGTCATGGCTGTTCCGGACAAAGGCCCGCCATCAACCCTAGCAGCCCGCCTGCAAGGCCCACCACGACCGCCTGTGACAGCTGGTGTGGCTGGGTGCCACAGGGCTCCTGGCAGTACACCCCGGAGTGCCGCGGCTGCTCAGGAGGAACTCCCACTCAACCCATCGAACGCCCAACAGCACCGATCCAGACGACTGGAAGCTGCGTGAGTTGGTGCCAGTGGGTCCCATCTCCTTCTTGGCAGTACACCCAAGACTGCCGCAACTGCTCAAACTCCCACCCGGATGAGGGCAGCTCCGGCACTGTCATCGGTAATGGAACTTGTGTGGGCTGGTGCCAGTGGGTGCCGCTGGCTTCCCGTCAATACACGCCAGAGTGCCGCGGGTGCTCAACTTCAGGTCCGACTGCGACTCCGGCGGCACCGGCCAGCATCAAATGTGCGGACTACTGCAAGTGGGTGCCCAGGGCCTCCTGGCAGACCACTCCGGACTGCCGCAGTTGCTCCGGGAATGTGTCTTCCCCGCTGCCGGTTGGTCCTGCAGCGCCGGTGAACGGAAGCAATGCAAGCTGTTCGAACTGGTGCCAGTGGGTCCCCACAGCATCCTGGAACCTCACTCATGGCTGCCATGGCTGCTTTGGGCAAGAGCTGGATGGACCTTTCCTGCCGCACAGTGGAAGCGATGTTGGAAACTGCGTGGGCTGGTGCCAGTGGGTCCCGCAAAACTCATGGCAGTACACCCCCGAATGTGGTGGCTGCTCAGGACGAGATCGACCGGTGGGACCAGACAGTGGCCGGCCAGTGAATGGAACGCAGGGAGTTTGCGTGAACTGGTGCAGATGGGTCCCGCATGCATCTTGGCAGTACACTCCGAGCTGCCATGGCTGCTCCGGTGGATCCCCGGCCGTGCGGCCGGACAGCCCAGTCACTCCGGGACAAAACTGTGCCACCTGGTGTCAGTACGTGCCGGGCGCCTCCCAGCAGTACACGCCGGAGTGCCGAGGATGCGGTCAGGGCAGCGGACCTGCCACCGTGCCAGCTCCCGCACCAGCAACCCCCGGCGGATGCGCCAGCTGGTGTGGTTGGGTGCCGACTCCGTCGCACCAGTACACACCCGAGTGCCGTGGATGTTCTCAGGGTGCAAGCAGCCCATCCTCCACTCCGGTCGCTGCTGGATGCGCCACTTGGTGTGAGTATGTCCCAATGTCTGCATGGCAGTACTCGTCCGGCTGCACGGGCTGCTCTTCAAAGACCCTGCCACCCGTGTAAAGATTCAGGGGCATGGTGAACTTTTGGAGCAGTATTTAAGGCCATGTAAAAAGAGAGGGACTTCCGATTATTAACTGTACAGGAGGGCGCTCCGTTCCCGTTTGCATAGGCAGGGGCTGTCGCAGAGCATCAGCTCCTATATCTAATTCATTTGCCACATGCGCAAACCGCCAACTTGCAGCACAATATCCCGGACGTGAATGCGATCTGAGAAGAAAGTTGGCAACGACATTCTTTCTGCCGCTCCATCTCCTCTGCCGCGCGCCGTCAGAACTTTGCACTGAAACTCTGCGTCCGTGTCTACAGGTCCCACATGCTGGCTCCTGTCGGCCCTCCTGCAAGCCAGGCAGGGCATTTCTGAGTTACGATGGCATGTAGAAAAATGGTAGCAAGGCGAACTAGCGTGATCAACTCATAGGATGCTATAGAAACATGTAGGAATAGGTCATCGCACACGTGAAGACCAGATACTGTAAGGCTTGCCAGCGGCAGCAGATAGGCATAGTTCATCGCACGTATGAAGATCTGAATTATAAGGGAGGCGGCACGATACAACCTCGTATCTACAGAGCGTGGACTTTGCAACTCATGGTGGCATGGAAGTCGGGAGCCTACAAAAAGCAGCTCAGAATGCAGCACTCGGAGCATTCTCATTTGTAAGAATCCGAAGGTAAGACAGAGGTTCGTATGACTAGTGACTGTGTTCTATGCTGAGCTATACACTACGTAATGTAGGAACCTGATTAAGAAACCCTGGCCCTATAACCCGAATACATTAGGGTTCATATAAATAACCCTAATAAGGATCCAGGGTTTCTTATTCAGGTTCTTATAGATTAACTTTGTGGCACTACCGAGTCCGGACGCATGGTTGCAGTTTAAGGTCTTGGGCAGTTCACGGTGCAAGTTTAGGGCGGCTTAGGGGGGGAACTCTGCACCTCGAGATCCTCGTCCAAGAACCCTGAGCCCAGCACCCTAAACCCTAAACCCTAAAGACCCTAAACCCTAAATACCCCTAAATGCCCCAAACCCTAAATACCCTAAACCCTAAAAACCCGGCACTCTTTCAACCAGCTCTCGGATTTCTCGCCTGTTCAGGCTTCACCGCGGAAGTTCCAGCGGGCCTTCTTCAGCTCACCTGTAATGCCCGGGACCTTGACGATATGGTCGCGGTGCTGAAACCCATAAACCCTAGAAGCTCCAATCCCGACCCTACGGCTCTCATCAGGGTATGGGACCGATTCTTGATCAGTGTATTAAGACCCGTAAACTTCAAACCCTATCCTGACCCTCAGACCCTGATTCATGTATACTGGCACGGGAACCCTCAACCCCATGTGCTGCGTCACACTCCCTGCCCTTTGAACTCTTAGTCCTAACCCAGGGCAGCAGAACGCACAACCCCCAACGGCCCAAACCCTAAACCCTAGAAGCCCCCAGGCTCAAAACGCTTAAACCTCAACGGAAACCAGCGAAAGCCCTGTCATGAGGACGGAGTGCTGTCCCCGAGCAGCTTCTTCTGCAGGGCCGCTTGCAACCGGGCCGGGATCCTAGAGCCGCATTGAGGGTTTAGGGTTTGGGGTTTGGGATTTCGGTTGTTTTTGCTTGTGAATGTAGGGTTTGATGGTAAAATACGAGTTATGGTAGGTCCTACAGGGGTTCATAGTGGTTGACGTGTGCAGAGGCCTCAGAGCATGGCAGCCTCAGAGCATGGCAGTTTTTTTTGTGGCTAGCACCATGGCTGAAAGATCCGCATGGGATGACCAAGCATTCATGTGTTAATGTGTCCAAGGGCTTTGAAGGTAGTTCTTGCAGGATGTGGGCATTGGGAGGCTTATAGGCTCTTTAGTAGGGTTTAGTGTCTTCATGCTCGATTTGTGTATTTCCGGTGGCTATTTCTGATAAGGCCCCGGAAGCCACTCAACTAAGCCTATAGCCTCTAAACCCTCAAGCCCCAAGCCGAAATCAGTAAACTCAAGTAGAAAAACCCTCCAGGTGCCCACCGTCAACTTCGCTGCCCGATGCTGAGAGACCGCTGTCGTTTGGGTTTGCATTTCAGGGGAGTTAATGAACCCTAAACCCTGAAACCCTAAACAAACCCTAAACCCTAAAACCCTAAAGCTCCAAAGCCCTAAACCCTAAAGCCCCAAAGCCCTAAAACCCCAAACCCTAAGACCGTTAATGGTTCCACCCCCGAGGGCCACAGCTCCTTTCATAGGTCCTTTCGAGTATCCTCAACGCCCATCACGAGCCCGACGTCCGTTGGTTTCAAAGCACAGCCCAGGGCTCCACAGAAATTCGGATCGCGGCAAAAGTGCGAGCATCACGAACTCCAGCACGAGCGGCGTCGAAGGCAAAAGTGTCCCTGAGATTTCTGTATTTACAAATGACCACACATGACCACCGCCACTCTGAGGGATCATTATAGATCCTGAAGATCCACTCGACGCCTTGACGGACTTTGACATGTAGATCTCTCTGACTCACGCTGCTCCTTTGCGATGGTCAGAAAATCCACTCTCATGCCCGACCCTGACCGCGAAACCTTATGTTGCAATCTCATAATGCCCCTACCCATACTTAACCTTGCAACCGCAGTCCCAAATCCGTAAACCCTCGTTCCCAGATACCCTATGCCTTACCCTCGCATACCCCTCCATGAAATCCCTACAAACCCAGGACCAGCCTCTGCTGGTGCAGTGCGCCGGAACTTTGCACAACCAGACCTGCGAGCTGCCCTGCGTCGGAGGACGGTGGCATCTTGCCTTAGCGCGTCTGTGTTGGTTGGTATGTTTATTTATTTCCGTGTGTAAAAGGTTTAGTTTTCAGTGGTGTTATATATATATATATCATATAT